TACCTCTCCTTTTCCAGTTCTGACTTCAGCCTGATCATTCCTCCCCTGCCTGTCCTGCTCCACATACCAGCAGACGGGAAATCTGACACTGCGTGGCCCCTCACCCTCCTATCTTGCCTAGACTTCTGTTACTATTTATTGAGCTTTGACCCCAACCATCTGTTTCAGCCCTGATAAAGAGGTCCTAGCTCCTTCCTGAGTCACTCTCCAAGCCAGAAACCCTCTATTTCTTTGGTCACATGGACAATTTGCTCGCATCACTGAAAACATGACAACAAATAAAAAAGACACGTTGTACAGATGTTATTGATTTTACCAATATGCATGAGAGGTCAAGGGAACAAGTAAACTATTACAATGGAGATGTAATCAGCAAAAGCTAGACTGGGTGAAACTCTATTGAAAAACGATCCAATTTCCTCAACCAAAATTTACAAGGAAAAGAAGAAAGGAAAGGGAACCTTTAGTTTAAAAGTGACATAATATGTATCCACCAATCACGATGTGTGGGCTTTATCTGGAGACTGATTCAAACCAAAACAAAAAACAAAAAAAAACCATAAACACTTCCTTGGACATTTATGAAACTACTGAAAGTTGAAATACTGGCTTAGTATTTGATGAAATTTAAGAGATTACTGCTTGTTAATTTTATGTGTGCTAATGGTATTACGATTGTGATTTTTTTTTTAAAAAGGATCCTTACCTTTTAAAGATACATCGTGAAGTACTTAGGTATGGAATGATAACATGTCTGAGATTTGCTCCAAACAATATCAGAAGGAGGACACAGAGGGAACAAGAATGCCCAAGACTTGCTACTAGTTGAAGCGGAGTGGTATATGAGGATTCATTATATTATTATTGTCTACTTTCGTACGTCTGAAATTCTCCATAAAAAAAAGTTTTCAGATGTTCTTGAATTGCCAAGCATCTGCTGAAAGTGTGTGTGTTATTCTGAAAGAGTGGAACAGGAGGAGCTGGAATTTGAGAAGAGGAAGGTCTGGAACAGCCCCTGTGGGGAGGGTGCCAGGAATGTATGAGACAAACAGAAGGGTTGCTGAGCCGTGGCAAGGACCATGTTGAAACTGGACAGTGTGAATTCACACTGGTCTGCCTGGGGCTCCTTGTAGCAGTGCGCTGGGACTTGGGGAGCGGGAAGGAGGAAAGAGAAAGAAGACAGTGGAGGCAGGGGTCCCAGACACAGTAGCACTGAGTCTGGTGTAACTGGGAGATAATGACTGGTCTGGATGCAGTGAAAGGCAAAATAGCTGGAAAGCCCACTGAGGTTGGGGATGATGTGATCAGAGACACAGAAGTTGTTTGGGAAAGTGTTTATATCGGTGTGAGATCTCATTGATCAACCAGGGGCCTTGCTGGTTTCCAGTCAGGCTTGTCAGGGGGACTCTGCTAGGCCACAGGGGTATGGTGTCAAGTTCCTCTTCTATGATCCCAGTGGGGCCCTCAGGTTTGGGATATTCTCAAATGGTTTCAGGACGGCCCTTAGCAATGACTAAGGTTTTAATCAGTAGCCTTGTGACCTCAAGCAAGCTATTTCCTTTTTCAAGCCTTGGTTTCCTCATTTATAAAAATCTGAGGAAATGGCCCTGGCTGGTGTGGCTCAGTGGATTGAGCACCTCCCTATGAATCAAAGCGTCCCTGGTTCGATTCCCAGTCAGGACACATGCCTTGGTTGCAGGCTAGGTCCCCAGTAGGGGGCACGTGAGAAGAGGCAACCACACATTGATGTTTCTCTTCCTCTCTTGCCCTCTCTCTCTAAAAATCTTAAAAAAAATGGGACAACTGTAATAGCACGATCAGTAAAATATATTTTTAAAAAAGAATAGCAAAATCTGACTGGCAAGGAAATGCTATTTTCTTACTGAAACATTATAAAATCGGATACTGGAGATGTGTCCCTCCTAAGACAAAAACACCCCAACTTTCCAAATAGTCTGAGGCGAAAGCTTTTGATGAAGAGGAAGAGGAGTAATAGCACTAGTAATTGCAAACACGTACATAGTACTTGCTATATGCCAGACGCTGTTCTAAATATGTGTTAGCTATTAGTACTATAATACTCAGCTCGGGACTTCAAAGGAAAGATGTGTCCTAGAGAGAAAAATGTGCGAGCCATCGGCATGTGGGTGACAGTCCAAACCATGGGCATAGATGGGAGTGTCTGGAAGAGTTATGTATAAGACAGACAGCCTAGGGGCTGCGTCCTCAAGAACTTCATCACTGAATGGCCAGGTAGAAGAGGAGAAGCCTGCAAAGGAGACCGGAAGGGATGGCCAGAGATGTAGAAAGACAAGCAAGAGGAGCGCGGTGGGTCACAGAAGCCAATGCGTTTCAAGGAAGACACCATCCTGGGTGTCAGATTTTTCTGGAGAGATCAAGCCAGGTGAGGACTAAAAGTGAGTATCCACTGGATTTGGTGACTCGGTGGCCCATGGTGACTTGATCACCATAGATCGAGGAGGTTGGAAGACAGACTGAGGTGTGTTGTGAAGGGATTAGGAAGAAGGAAATGGAAAAAGTAGTTATTTCGAGTTTAGTTATAAAGGAGTGAAGAGAGTCAAGTAGTAGCTGGAGAGGGGTGTGAACTCAAGGGAAATGGCGTTTGTAAGATTGGAGAGACCTGAGCCTATTTAAATGCCAGTGAAAATATCCAACAAGAGGGAGAGGTTGAATAAACAGGAAAGAGAAAGGATAAGTAACAGTGTTAAAGGTTTCTGGGAAGACGTGAGGGGATAGGATACAGAGCACCGTAGGGAGAAATGAGAAGTATAAAAGGAGACAGGGAGAGGATCTGTATTAATGTGAACAAATATAAAAAGTTCATAGTGGGAAGTGGGGGATTAAATTAGATAATATGTGCAAAGCGCTTAGCATGGTGCCTGGCAGGTTAGTTTGTATCAGATATGGTAGCTATGGTTGTTGTTATCAATGTTATATACCTGCTTGAAAATTTCTTATATTTTAGGCTTTGAGTTATGTAAAATGAGTTAGTACACTGCTTTATCAATGCTATAAATTTGAAATTGCATATATGAAGTTTATATGCAACAAGGGTTACTTGAACTTTCTGATTCCTCACCTCCATCCTCTCCTGGATTTCTGGGTAGCTGCTGGTCCTCTGATTTTGAAAAGAAGATAGAAAAAAGTTGTACATTAAGATCAGTGCACTTGATGCCCCAGGCTGGGACCACACCCACAACCTTGGCATGTGCCCTGACTGGAATTCGGACCAGTGACCTTTCAGTTTGCAGGATGACGCCAAACCAACTGAGCCATGTGGGCCAGAACTACGGTCAATTGATTTTCAACTGGAGCGCCAAGACAATTCAATGGGGACAGAGGAGTTGTTCAAAAAATGGTGCCGGGACAACTGGATATCAATATGCATAAATGTAAAGTTGGATCCTCTCCCTCAGACCACATACAAAAGTTAACTCAAGGTGGGCCAAAGACCTAAATGTAAGAGCTAAAACTATAAAGCTCTTAGAAGAAAAAAGTAGGAGCAAATCTTCACGACCTTGGATTAGGCAGTGGTTTCTTGGATATGACATTAAAGTACAAGAAACCAAAGGAAAAGTAGAGTCACTGGACTTCATAAAACACCATCGAAGAAGTGGAATAACAACACACATGATGTGAGAAAATACTTATAAATCATGTATCTGACAAGAGACTTGTCTCCAAAATATATTTTAAAAACTCTTACAACTCAATCAAAAGACAAATAACCCAGTTAGCAAATGGGCAAAGGGTATGACGACATTCTTCCAAATTAAGAGACAAATTGCCAACAGGCAAATGTAAAGATGCTCAACATCATTAGCCGTCACAGGGAAATGCAAGTTAAAACCACAATGAGATTCCACTGTGTACCGACCAGGATGGATATAATAAGACAAGACAAATGACTGTTATCGAGGATGTGGAGAAACTGGAACCCTCTTACACAGCTGGTGGGAATGTAAAACGGTGCCGTCTCTTTGGAGACAGGCAGTTGCTCACAAGGTTCAAGTTACCATTTGACTCAGAAGTTACACTCCTAGGTATACACCCAAGACAAATGAAAACATAGGTCCACATAAAAACTTCTACTGTACGTGGATGTTCAGAGAAGCATTACTCTCAATAGCCAAAAAGTGGGAAAAACCCAAATGTCCTTCAGCCGATGAATAGATAAACAAACGTGGTGTATCACACAGTGGGGTATTATTTGTTCACAAAAAGGAGTGAAGTCCTAACACCTGTCAAACATGGTTGAACTTTGAAAATATTATTCTGGGAGGCCGGTCAAAAAAGAACAAATAGTGTACAAGTCCGTTCATATGAAATAGCCACGGTAGGTAAATCCATGGAGGCAGAAAGGAGATTAGTGATTTCCCAGGGCTATGAGTTTGAAGGGAAATTAGGAGCGACTGCTAACGGCTACAGGGTTTCTTTTGGAGTGATGAAAATGTTCTAAAATGGACTGTGGTCGCACAACTCTGAGTATGCTAAAAAAAAAAAACAACCTACTGAATTTTACACTTTAAATGGGTGTTGTATGGTGTATGAACTGTATCTCAATAAAGCTGTGAAAAATAAAAAGTACTTCTTCCGTGGAGCCTTCCCTTTCTACTTCCAGTCCACATGAATCTCTCCATTCTCTCAATTCCTACAGCTCTTAAGAACTGGACTGCACAATTTAGCACTCAGTTGAACTACCTGATAATGTTTATTATCATTTCCTGTAGCTCAGCCATGACTTGTCGGCCAGACTGTAATTATCCTGAGAGGAATGAATAAGTCCGCTGTGCCTCAAATATCTCTGAACCACCTAACCCGTAACTGGGCACATAGTAAGTACTCAGTAAACACCCGGTGGCTGTGAAGACTGGATCGAATGTTCACGTGTTTGTTTCCGCACGTGTGTGCCCAACACACACAGAAGTTGGGGGGAATGAATACAGTTTTACGTGGTGAGGTGAGAGAACGACACTATGTGAAACTGTAGAATACAAGATTTATTTAAGGGAAAAAAAAACAGCATGGTTTGGATACTTTTGTTCTCCCCTCCTTCAGCCTCCTGCTGCTCAATACCACACGGCCAACCAGACCCTGGTCTCTGAGACCCTAAGAGAGTCAGTGAGGTCCTGTCCCGACACTCGACTGTCTGGTGTCCCTATTCCCCCATCGCTTCCTCCTCGTCCTCCTCCTCCTCTGTCCAGCTCAGATCATCTGAATCCTCAGATTCTTCCTCATCCATCTCTAAGCCAACCCCTGCCTTAGCCTTCTCAGCTAGCGAGTCAGGGTGCTCCAGCTGGGCCCAGCATCCTGGGTCAGCCTTGACCAGGGAGATTTCAACCCGAGATGGCATCAAGGAGACAGAGCTCTGCTCCACGTTTATGACCTGAGGGAGAGGGAAAGGTAGAGGAACGGAGAAAAAAAAAAGAGAAAATGAGGAAATCAAAGGGATCGAGGTCAGGGTGGGATGGCGATAAATGACAGGGAGAAAAATCCAAAAGTAAGGTGGGGGGAAAGATGGACGAATAAGACAACATAGTAAGGGAGAGAGAGAAAGAAGGAAAGAAGGAAGCGGAGAGGGAAAAGGGGGAGGAGAGGGAGAAGGTGAGAGAGAATTTCAAAGCAAATGAAGAGAAAACCTCCACTTTTTCCCCACAGCAGCTCCTGTCCTGAAGACACCCTCTCTTCTTTGCGCCCCACCTGCCCCCCTCCTGCACCCCCTTATCTTCACTTACCCCCCAGAGCTTCATCTGGGCTTGGAATACACGGTTACCATCAAAGACAATGTGGACATGAAGCTGAGAGAAAAGAATGACAGGGCTAGTAACAATGCCGGAAGGTCAAAATGAGTCATTATGACAACGAACCAGGCCACGGGTATGATCCACACATCCACAGATCAGTCAGATAACCATGGCCTAACAGCCCTACCTTCCCGTCAGGGGACTATGGAGCCCACGTGTTAACCACACACAGCCACTCTGCCTGGAAGATTGTAATATCACCCAAGTCACTAGCCTCCTATCCAGCATCAGACATTCCTCACCTCAGTTTGACTGGCCTTCACCCAGTTGAATGCAGGAAGTGGAATCTGGCCATACACAGTCACCACTACTAAGGAATCTGTCTGGTGCCAGTCGTGACGGCAAGATGCTGGTAGCTAAAGAGGAGATGTGAAATGGTGGTAAAAAATTAACTCTTAATCTAAGAGGAGCTCTCACGGTTTGTGTGGAAAAGAGATAGGGCCTCAGAAAGATTACCACCACCTTATATTGCAAAACATCTAGGCTATTGAGGGATAAGGAGCAGTATCTTATCTGGTCCATACAAAAGGGAGAAGATAGAGAGCGTGGCTATGAGGGTACAGGGAGGAAAAATCATTTGTGCAATTGGATTCTAATCAGGAGTTCAGGAAAGTTGGAGCTTACCTGCTTTCCCCAGTCATGCCTACCAACTCTGCATCCTGGCTGTGCCAGGAATGCCCCAAAATCCAGGGTCTGGATGCCGCAACAGCTCCAAGACTTCATCCTGGGGAAGATAATTCAACTGAATCCCTTTCCAATCCCACAAGCCTTCACTCCTATCTTATGCTATCTTATGATCAACACTGGGAGAAACCTTTCTCGCAGCCCACCCAGTCCTCTCCCTCACCCCTCATGGAATCGAGGCGCTCCTGGGTGGTAGGTACATGGAGTAGCATCACTCTCGGGGCCTTGGTAAACCTAAGATCAAAGAGAATAGAAAAACAATCAGGTCATTCTAAAGTGTACCCCGCATGCCCTGGCTGGTATGTCTCAGTGGATTGAGTGTTGGCCTGCGAACCAAAGGGTCACCAGTTCAATTCCTGATCAGGGCACATGCCTGGGTTGTGAGCCAGGTCCCCAGTAGGGGGTGCATGAGAGGCAACCACACACTGATGTTTCTCTCCCTCTCTTTCTCCCTCCCTTCACCTCTCTAAAAATCAATAAAATCTTTTTTAAAAGTGTACCCCACACAACCTCATATCTCTTCTCAGTCATCCCTAGGGTGTATTCCTCAGCCACACACTTGAGCCCCCACAAACTCTCACTCACAGCATCACATCCTGGGTTCTGGCAGCTGGAACCAGTCCGGATCAGACTACTGTCAATTCCTAGGCGAGGGAAACAGAGTCAGGAACCTATCCATTCCCTCCACCCAATTGCCACTTTCACTAAATTTCAGTCTGTGAGGCCTGTCCTACTAGGAACCCAGTTACCTGCTCCGGATTCATGGTCTAATTCCTTCTGTTCCAATGCCATTTCCAGGGCTTGGGATATATTTAGTGGAAGCAGCTTTGGAGGCAACTCTGACCTAGGGATAAGGGTGGGGGGGTGATTTAGTTCTGACTCATTAACCATGATTGACAGCTCCAACACTCCCCAGTGCTAATGGAGTCAAAGAGGTCTGGTGAAAGTGGGTTTAGGGTTGGAGAGGTGGGGTAGCAGCCCCATTGCCAATTTTCCTCTCTGTGGCATCCCAAATCCCTGACCCTGGGAGAATCCCCAGGACTTCTCTTGCCCATCTACTCAGTTGCTTTCAATCTCATATTTCTCTGTAGAGTCGTACCATTTCCTCTTCCTCTAATTAACTGTGGACCTAATATGACTTTCTTCTGTTGTGCACACTATTTCCACAAAATTAACTAACTCTTCTCTGCAGCCTCCTGGCTGCCAATATTACTGCATCCTTTTCTTGATATGAAACTATTTTAGCCCTGGCCGGGTAGCTCAACTGGTTGGAGCATCATTCCAATAGGCTAAGGTTGCTGGTTCAATCCCCGGTCAGGGCACATACCAGAATCAACCAATGAATGCGTCAATGGGTCGAACGACAAATCAATGTTTCTCTCTCTCTACCCGTGTCCTGTCTCTCTCTCATCAATTTTTTTTAAAAAACTATTTTAGCTCTGGCTGGTGTAGCTCAGTGGATTGAGTGCCGGCCTGCAAACCAAAGGATCAGTGGTTTGATCCCCAGTCAAGGCACATGCCTAGGTTGTGGGCCAAGTTCCCCGTAGTGTGCACACGAGAGGCAACAACAGCACAATGATATTTCTCTCCTTCTCTTTCTCTCTCCCTTCCCCTCTAAAAAGAAATAAATAAAATTAAAAAAAAAACTATTATAAAGCTCTTTTCCAAAAAGAGAATCAAGTCCTTCCCATCAGTCCCCCCTTACCTTGCATTGTAACTAAGTATGTGTTCACGAGGCGCTATCTGCTCTGTTAAAATACCTATCCCATCACCCCAATCCACCCTACAGCAAAGGACACTATTATTTCCAGACAGATTTCCCCCGTGACACGAAATATACACCAAGCCCTGACACCTGGCCCTCCTCACATCTCCCTAGCTCCTAAACCCCAGTGACCCATTATCAGTCAGTCCTAGAAAGCTCCATGAATGTAGCAAAAACCCTGGGACCTCCTCTTTACTTGGGCCTCTCTCGGAGCAAAGCCTCTGCTGACTTGGGAATCGCAGTCAGTGTTTGCTCCTGAAGTGAACTGCTTGTGCCAGGGCCCTCAGGTTGAGGGGCTTCGGGGGGCTTCTCAGCACAGTGTGGTCCAACAGTACAGCCCTAGTACACAGGATAAGGAGAGGAGGATTAGAGATAGAATCCTTCTGTTAGGGGCAGAATCTTAAGGAAAATTTACCTTGATGTTTAAGAACTCAGAGAAATCTACAGTTCGCTTCCGGCAGCAGGACCAACCCTGATAACGAGACCCAGCTCAGCTTAGATTCCTGGGTGTATTTCCTTTGGGAATGGCTCTTGCTACCCGCCCCACCCCCCCTCACCTATACCTCACCTTAAGTGCATCGTGGAAGATTGGGATCCCAGGGTGATGGCAACAGGAATCTGTGGATACCGGTCAAAGGATCAAGAAAGGAAACGATACCCAATGTCACCTCTTACCTCTTCCCCAGGTTTACATGCTATGGGTTTTCCATATAATGTAAAAAAACAACAATCAGTAAAGATCCAAGACCACTCAGACCAGTTCAACTAGGGCAGGTATGCTAAATATTTCTACTCCTTTCACAGACTGTCCAAAGATGACCACTCCCCAGCACCCACAGTGCCCCCTGGCAAGACCAGCATTACTCACCAGGAAAGTTGGTACTGGGGTCGAAGTGCTGCCCACAGCCTTTGTTATGGCACAGCAGAGACATGGAGGCGTTGATAAATTACTAAAAGGGTATTTCAAGGAGTCTGGCTGCCGAGTGGGGAACACCTCTTAGTCTGGAAGCTTTTAGCTGCCTGGAAGGGCCAGCTGTGTCTATCTTTAGTTCAGGAGGCGTACACCTCCTAACATGGGCAAGGGAACTTCAACTGGTCTTCCCAGCCAATAGGAAAAAGCTCAGGAGCATTTTATCTCTGAGGCTCAAGAAAAGGATCAGGCAGAGTAGGGCTTGGAACTCGGGTGAGGTCAGCTAACCACTGAGACCGTTTTAGATTTACCATGCCAATTCCAACCCTCTGACATACCAGCAGCTGCTCAGAAACAAATAGCAATTGAGACCCCTCCCAGCTCAATGAGGGTACCCCAATCCATTTTCTTTCTTTCAAACAGCTTCCCTCCCATCCTATTATTTCTGTGTGCCACCAATGGCACCGATCTTTGTCAACCACTTCAGTCACAGTATGCACCCAACCCCTGCCAAGTTTGCCTAGATGGATACTTTATAAAACCTAGTGCTCATCTCCTGAGACGTAACTCCCCTCCCTCCCTTCCCCTTCAAAAATAGCACAGAAGATTAAAAGGCTTAAAATGTATTTTAATAAGTTGATGCTGCATTACTGCTCCATTTTCCAGAAAAACTCCAGAGGTATCAGGGACAAATCAAACATGGTACACCAATTAAAAAAATGCACAGCGTAACTACCTAGGATAGGCAAGGCTAAGAGCTACTGTCGAACATTCAGCATACAGCAACCCTGTTCCCAAGATTGTACTAGGCCTATCAAGAAAAGCTGTTATCGGCAACATCAGACACAAGACCGCCATTCCTGGGTCGTCCCTACCCAAGAAGGAGGAGGAGGCAAGTTAACACAAGATTTTTTTAAAAGATATACTAAAATGAAAATCTCTAAGAGAAAATGTCTTCCTTAGGACATGAAGGGATAATATATGGGATATAACAGAACCGTATGTATGTTATCTGTGACCTCTGCGGACATTTGCCTGAATTCCCACCTGGGAGTGAATAGAATGATGGGGCTAAATTCATTGGGGGATGTTGGTGGGTTTTGGGGTATATGTGGCAGTGTCTCTGGGGTCGGGGAACTTAAGAATGAAAAAGCAAATACGACAGGATAAACAAAGAATGGAATGATCAAGATTAATGGGGGCTCTAACTGGATCCACTCTGCCATTGTTCCCTCCCTCCCAGGCCCTCAATAATCAATCGCATGAGACTTCAGGAATGCACCACACAGACATGATTAAATGATATACCATACAGAATTCATTTGTTAAATATTGCCCCTCCCTTGCCCTCTGCCTCCAGCATACTCCCTAGAGTAGTACAGGCAGGGAAGACCTAACTATTGGGAGGAATCCCTAACACTTCTCCAGGGTAGAATTCCGGCTAGTCCAAAAAGGGTCCTTCTCTTAAGGGTTTTGGGGAACTAGACAATGCAATTTTATTAGTAACGGCGACGTTTGTTTGGAGCAAATTCAGCTCCAGGAGCTGCTCGGTTGAATGCAGGAGGGGTTCCACCAATTGCCCCTATTCCTTCCATTGTAGCAGCTTGGCCGAAGCGTTCGGTAGTTGGTGGGGTCTTAAAGGGAAAAAGAGGAACATTACAATATAACCTATGTCCTAAGCTTCCCACCCATGTGCAGCCCCTCCCTTGGAGGCCATCTCCACCCAATTTTTCAAGGCTCCTGATGCTGGGGGTGCCTTAGCCTGTTTAAAACTCTGTGGATAGATGTCCCTGAAAGAAAGGTCGCCTGGATTACAGACCCACCCACCCATCCTACCTTTCACTTTTGAGCCCTATTCTTACTGGCTAAGCAATATCACACATTAAATTCCTAGGATGGGTAAGCTCTACCTACATTTTTTGTCCTGAACTAGCTACATGGACAAGGGCAGGCGACCACTCTTCAAGCAACCTGAAACTCATCCTGTCTTAACATCTTTGACACGAGAACTAAAACTACCTCAGGATTCTATGAACCATAAAGCCTTTTGCATTCACACCTATTTTATGCGGTAACACCTAGCCTTCACTGCCTTCTCGACGAAGAACCTGTTCATCCAGGGAAGCAATGGACAATAACATGGGCCTATCAGAGGCCTCTGCTTACTCCTAATAAAGTATAGTTTGAGATTGGGTTTGCTCAAGATTCAAAAATAAAGATCCCGAGGTTACATTTAATGGGTTAATAGTGGGTCTAAACACTGATCTATAGCAAAATCATGGCAGGCCCGGAGACTGTGGAGGCAAAGTCCTTTCTTCTCTTATCACCATTTAGAATTACTCTAAGGCCCCGCATTTCATTACCAATCCCAAGGTTCCATCTGGCATCATAGTGGCAGGTCCTGGAGGAGCTGGGGTACCAGCAGGCACAGGAGCAGGGGGCATGGCGCCTCTGTTATTTATGCCCATAGCACCTAAAGCAGAGTAGTGCAATCAGTACAGGAGACAGATATCGTCAGTTTCTTTCTGTTCTAAAGGAAACAATTCAAGATCTTTGGGCTAAGACATGTTACTCCACCCGCCCCCCCAAATGATGCTCCCAGAAATGCGAACTACTTAAATCTGGCCTATATGAGATAAGCTACATAGTTCAGCAGAGATGAGACAAAAATGGAAATCAGAGCCATTAACCTCCTGATTCCTTACCTCCCATAGCCATCTGGCCCATCCGTATCTCCTGCTCTCTCTAAAAAAACAAAAAAACACGCTTTGTGTCTAAGACGGCACTGGATTCTACCATAATCCACTAAGGACCACACACTAGGGGGAGTAGATAGAGTGATAACACATCCCAAGTGCACTGAGACCAAGCTGAGGAACACCAACAGCTTCTTGCAAGTTATGCAGTGAGTTAAGACCAGCTAATGGGACACAAGTCAGAGCCTCCTCTTAGGTATAGGAGAGCTGAAAGGGGAAAGATGGCTCATTTCTTCTACAACTCCAACCTATACAACTGCGAGTACAGCAGAGGACTCATCAAGGCGGCTAAGGAACTGGATATACCTCGCCCTGCAGTCACTAAGCCTAAACTGCACATTCTGGGCCCCATCCTAAATTGCCTGTGGGGCAAAAAGAGCTCTCCTTCAAACCTTACCTTTCTTTCTTGTGAATTCTTTCTAAAAGGAATTGCACAGACTGGAAAAATTGATCGTAACCTGGTATATTGTATAGCCCTAGTGGCAGACAATTCATGGTGGTTTTGTCATATCATGACTGGCCTGGTACAGTATGGGCACAAAAAAGATATACCGCATCAGGGAAGGTTCCCTTGAATCCTTCCTGCTGTCTCCGCATCATTTCTTCCTGCTGTCTCCGCATCTCTTCTTCACGGCGCCTGCGCTCCTCTTCCTGCCTACACAGAGAATTGCCAAGGTATTTAAGCAGAGGCATTCCAGAACTTGAGCAGATAATAGGGGACTCAGCCAAAGGGATCAAGAGCCCAGTGAAAATTATCATAGTTCTCCAGCAAACTCAATGTTAAATGTGCCCAGCCCCAAAGCAGCCCAGATATGTCTCTTGGGGGAAAAAAGTTCTCCTTTCCTAAAGGAGCCCCATGAGACCAGCATTCAGCTGCTTTCCCTTTGGGGTAGCCCAGAATAATTCCCAGAACAACAGGCAGCTGAAATATCTCCCTTCCAAAGGGAGAACTTCAGAAACAGCCAGAAATGTTTGCCAATACATTTACAAATGCATGAGGTAGCGTGGTGGTAGGAAGCATTAGTGAGACACTACCTTTTAGAGTTGCTGGAGTAAAGGGGGTGAGAAGGGTTACCTGAGCTCTAGTTGCTTTCGTTTTTGCACTTCTTGGTTGTGCAGCTCTTCCATCCTCCGTAGTTCTTCTTGACGCCTCATCAGATCTAGAAAAACAACATACTGATTGAGAGTACTCTTCATTCTCCTCATATGGGCCCAAAAATTTTCCATAATTAAAGATCTAGGAAGCAAAGGGGATATATAATCCCCGAGTGGCCATCCGAGGTATCCAGATTCCAAAAATAAAGCCAAACCTATTATTTCCTTTCTCCACAGAATCCAGTATTCTCTGCCACATCTCCAAGCTCATCTGCCTACCAAGATCAACAAAATATTTCAGAGAATAAAAGTAGAGGTTTAGGCCTTTCTCTACTGATTGATACAAAGAAACTCCGGAAATAAACTTAATTTTGGTTCTTTTTCTAGTTTTAAGACGTATAGGCCTATACTCACCCTGCCTCATTAGCATGACCTGGTGCTCATGGCGAGCAGCCTCCATCTCCATCTCCAGTTTCTCGCGAGCTTCCTTGATGTTGCGGTCCACTTGGTCCTGCTGCTGTTTCTCCATTTCAATAAGTGCCTTCCAGCGCATGGCATACTCATACTCAAAGGAGCCAGGCTGTGCAAATCTAGGTGGCTGCTCCCGCTCCCTAAAGACAAGGTTCCTGGGTTACTAAAACTGTCCAGTATTCTAACTAAGCAAGGCATTCTCCCTGAGGGCCAAGATAATGGCTGCCAGTGAACGCATATAGCAAAGGCCTGCCTCTTTTACACATCCTTTTACAAGCTTCCTTGAGAACAGACAAACACCCAAAAGGGAATCTGCCAGGACTACATACTTGTGAAATTGCTGGTTCTTTATAACCAGCTTCTCTGGAAGTCCCTCTTCATCATCTAACTGGTCCATGGGCTCCACAGTCACAGGCCGAGGAAATCTGGGAAAAAGCAAGATCAAATTATACCCTGCACTAGGCGCCCTCTCTACATCTGCCACTGACACGAAGAACTAGTTTTAGAGGTCAGGACTAGACAATTAACCCTTTGAAGGGGTTTTATACCTAGTCCCAAGTAACCAATTCCTTTTAATAGCATTATGTGGAACCTGGGGTTGACAGGAGCAAGTCAAGCTTCAGATCTCTGAATGTAGCCTTAAAAAAGACGTTCAAAGAAAGTAGATACGGTACTTAAGTGCAGCCTAAATATCTGGGTATCTACAGAACTCTAGACAACAACTTGGGAGTAAATACTAAGATGCGGCACACACAAAACTACTTTCAGAATTATAAAACTTCAAA